CCTGTGCGGGACGGCCCTAGCACTTACTGAGAGGCCGTGAGGGTTTGAATAAGTCCTGACAAGGCTGAGAACAGTGGAAATAGGTTGTAGGATGCTGAACAGGCACAGGACAAATGTAATTCAGTTTTCCTGTCTGGGAATTGGGCTCCTCGCTTGGCTGTCCTCAGCTCAGGTTTTACAGTACAGGTTGGAAACTCTTGGCAGAGGTAAACAGAAACAAAGCCGATGATGGCCCCTCACCTGTGCAGGATAAATGGAAAAGGCTAAAGCTGCATCCCCACTTCCTAGCCTCACCCCACAGGTCACACACTACTACTCACATGTGGTTCCTGCCCGTGGGAATCGTGTCACACCAAGCAGTGGCTAGAGAGTCCAGCCCCACCTGGATCATGGCATTGACAACACTCCCAGACCAGACATTTTCATACAGAATATGCTGTCTCTGTAACACTGACAGTGTTATTTTAAACTGCATTTTCCTTTGGAATCAGCCTTGCTGCAGTTACAACCACACAGTCAGCTGAACCACGGATCCCACTTGGCTGGGTGTTCCCCTCTTTGCCTTGCTGAAAGAAGCCACAGCAGAAAGGGAAAGAAATAACACATCTGTGCTGTGGCCTGTCTCCTCTCATTCACAGCTGGATGAGGGTCCCACACCCATGCTCTGTCCTGTCCCCTCCATCACTGTCACTCCCCTGGGCAGGAGAACCAGCCCAAGCACAGGCTGTGCCTGGGCAGACCGTGGCAGACTCCTGAACACCTTGAACACCTTCCCCTCCCACGGGGCACTTCCAGAGGTGCCATCCTGGCACCTCGCTGGGCCGGTACAGACCCCAGGCAGCTCCCAAGGCCGTGTGGCCATTGTAGCTAAGTGTGCAATTGCATTTTCAACATAATTAGGTGCCTAATTGTGCGCCTGGGCCTGGCTGCTGTATTTGCATGTGTACCTAATGATGATTTATCGAGGAGCTCTCTGGCCGCAACGCCTCACTCTCCAGCCTGGCAGGGACATCCATAGAGTGAGAAGTGAGCCTGGGTGCTGGGTTTTCCCTAGCTTTTATTTTAAACCCAACTCCTGTTTATATTGGAGTTTTTAAATCATTGAAGCTGCCTGAGCAATGCGAGAACTCCAACCAGCAGTGTCACAGGGAGACAAGTGCAGTGCTGCACTAACAGCTGGGAAAAATGAGAAATTCCAGGGGAAAGGCCGGGCCCAGGTCAATAAATGGAATTGCCATGCCAGGCTTCCTAACAGTGCTGATGTCAGACTTCTCCAGTGGTGTGATGCGAGGCAGTAAGAACCTGCACCGGCCATCACCAAGGTCAAAAGGGATCCTCTTTCAAGACAGATAAAATCTCGGTGTCCTCTCTCAGCTCCTTTTAGCTCAGAACTGGCTGAACTCCGACACTGGGGTTCTCAGGGCCAGCTCAGCTGCGTGGCCACACAGATGGATGCTTAATAGACACAGCACTGTGAAAATGTCTATTATTTCCCTTCAGTGAAACACTTTTTAACTACAGCATCCAATCACTCTTTACAGCGTATGGTGTCAAAAACACTTACTGCACAAGCAGAGATCTGTGTTTCTTTTGCCACAGACAATAAATCTTTAGTGTCTTCTCTTGCCACGCATCACTCCACTTGCTCTCAGGAGGCACCATACGTCTCTCTTTCCCTCTACCTCTTCTAGCAAGGTCACTTTCCAGTGATGAAACAACTTTTCCAGGAGGTACAGTGTTCAATAATTAATACCTACTGATAATAGCTTCCCAGAGCAGCGCTTTAAAGCTCTAATGCTCGTCACAGACTTAGAGCAGGAAGAACCCTTAAAATAGATCTGCGTAGCATGTCCGAAAATATCAGCCTCAGGAACTGCGGGTGCATATGGCTGAACATACATGGGTGCAGACAGACCTGAGCCCTGGTGCCTAAGGAAGCCCAGCCCTCCCTCCCTCACCAGCCAGTGTCACTGCACCGCAAGTGTGAGCAGGTCAGGTCACCCTCACATGTGTGTGTGGTGTCATCTCCTGCTGCTTCCACCCCTGCACATGCGGGTTCTGCAGGAACAGGGTCCCCAGCGTGAGGGTGTTTGGGAAGGTGCCCGACTGCAGGCTCTGAGGGCACTCAGGCCATGAGCCACAGGGAGGGGTACAGGCCCTGGTTCAGGAGTGGCAGTGACCCAGAGCATGTTCCCTCCTACCAACCATCCCATTACCACCAAAGTGGCCTTTCAGGCCACCTCCAGTGACAGCATCATTTGACAGAAGCACAGACAATACTGTACCTGAGCATGCAATGTAAACACCAGGTTATCAGTAATTTCAGTGTTTCTCCTGGCTCATGGATGCTGTCACCATCTTGTCTCCAAGGAGGCCTGGAGGCATGTGGCTTAGCTCTAAGGCAGTAGGTGAAGCAGTCACTAATAAAACTAATACTCAGGGCCATCTCAGGAACAATGCCCTCCATGCCATGAGTTTCTAACTTAAGAAGTGCATGCCATAGATAAATACATGTGGGTCATTCTGGGCTGGTGTAAGATCTGACACAGCTTGACCTTTGTCTGTGCGTAAGGTGAAATCTCTCTGCCTTAAGCTCCAGGACAAATGAGAATGTAATGACGGGAGCAAAACCATTTTATGTTGCATTTCTTTTGCATCAAATGCCCTTGTCTCTGATACTTGAGTCTAACTCTCCAGTTTTCATCCCGTAAAAATGCAATATGAACCCCTGGATCAGTGGTTGGCTGTTCCCAGCTGGTGTTCAGGGCTCACCAGGGGCATCTCTCCTTTGTTTCATTCCTTGGGGCTCACAGCATCTCTGCCCATGTGCCCCAGTCCCCCCGTGCCTCAGGAGAGCCCCACTGCTCTGCCAAGAGGACACGCTGCATTTAGGGATGTTTGGCCGTGGCCCAGTGGGAAGGCATGTCCTCCCTGCTGCTGAAGGCATACAGGACACCGATTTTCTCCTGACTTCTTTGAACCAAAGCCTAATATTACTTTTCTTTCCCTAAGCAGAGCATTTACAGGTTTATAAATCAGGAAGGACTAACATCAAACACACCCTGAGTGTGCCTCAAAGCATTCACAGAGTGCCATCTGGGCATGTGGCTTGCTTGGAAGGAAAGGGCTTTAATTACAATCAGCATAGGAGATACATATTTATGGAAAGAGGAAAAATTCTTTCAGTTTACCTTCTTTTGGACTACTGAAATATATTAAGAGTCAGTTTCAGGAAGACCTTTACTTGTGACCCAAACCACTCACAACCTTTAAAAATCCAGACACGGGATTTCCCTTGCAGTGTGCACCACAGCTGTAATATTTGTCCAGCACTGAGAAATGGGCTTTCCTTTGGTAAAATAGGTTATACTTGGCAGGAATTTAACATCACCTGGTATAAAGTACTGATCCAAGCTCCGTGGCTCTGCACTGGTTATGGATTTGGCTCTGACCGGGAGCAATGCGGAGCAGATACACTTGGGCCTGCTCCCTCCAGGGTTAGGTCTGCAGAGAGCAGCCCAAAACTTTATGGGGAAAGATGGATGGGAAGGCATATTATGATTCTGGAGGGAAAAAGGGAGGATAAACCACACTTCAGCTTAGCAGCTCTTGCAGCTTTTAAATGCCTGTACACCAAAAAGCAGCTGCCAGGAGCAGAAAGGAAAAATGTGTGGGTTTTCCTCATGTGTGGCTGTTGCACTCTGCTCACCAAAATGGAAGGGATGCAGATCCCCAAGAGCAGGTCCTCAGGCTCTGCTCAAAATGTTCAACCCTAAATAATCAACTTTCTTCTGGATCATACTCTGCTTCCTAAAGGTACCTGCCCATCATTTTACAGCCTTTCCAGATTTTGGCAGGTTTTATGTTCAACTACAACAAAATAAAATATCATCCATCTCCTCGGGCACAGAAAGATACAAAACATCCTATGAGCTCCTGTGTGCTTTGCACCTGCACTTAACCTCTGCTCAGACAGTCATAGTTTGCATTCAGCAAGGAAACTCATTTTTCACACCAGTGAAGAATTTCTGTTGTTTCAGTGGAAAAATGGGATAATGAGCTCCAAGAAAATCTAATCCTTTTTCATTGGATCAAACTGATGTAAGCTGCAGGGTTTGGCTTGCTGGACTAAGCAATAAAACCAAAACAAGACTGTGGGAGAGAAGTGCAGACAGAAATGTTTATGAGAAATAATTGTTATCTAAGAAAGAGCACTCCTGAGCCTCAGAGCACCAGCAGTGCCATGGTGGGGAAGCGCTGTCCGAGGAGGGCTTTGTCACCCATCCAGAGGCTTGTGTTCCCATCCCAAGGGTCGTGTCCCCCATCCGAGCCTGCAGGTCAGGGACACTGCTCCTCCTGTCCCACTCACCTGTCGGCTGCGGCTGGAGCCTGGCAGGGAGCTGAGCCCACTGGAACTGATCTCATGTAGCATTTGCCCACCAGTCACCACCAGTTACATTTTGGAGAGACTAGGCGGGGACAGACCCGAGTGCACCCACACTCTCACTGACAGCAGCACTAGGAACTCAATCACTGCTAATTCCATTAACTTCCTTGGAACCTGTGTTTAAATTACAGGAGGCTGTGGCGGAACCACACACAAAAAAAGCTCAGTGATCAAGAAATGTTCTGGCTGAGGAAAACTCAGCCAGTTTAAAATGTCAACAACTGAAATGTTCAGGGCTTTTGGTTAAGGCTTTATGGATCTATAGTTCAGAATGGACTTAGACATGCAAAAACTGATTTCAGAACGAAAATAACTTTGAATTACAGGACTACAGTAAAAAAGATCAGAAGCAATAAATATAATTTTTTTGGGGCACTCTTCTTTCTCATCCCACTGTCTGCCCGTACTGGGTAGCTGCCACATCCAGCAGCATGCGTGCTGTAGTCCTTCCCAGCTTTTGAAGAGCTGTAAGGGAACAGCTCTTGTGGCTAATGTATTAAAGCTGACAAGAAAATGTGCATGCACAAAAAGACTAACGTGCAACTGCTTTCAGGCTCCTGAGCCCCCGTTTGGGACGGGGAGGGTCTGAGTGGGCACATCTGAGCGCATCCTCTGAACTCCAGTACTCGCAGCACAGGTATGTAACAACTCACTCTGAGTGAGTCAGTGAGCTCGGGGCTGCCACAACTCTGGCAGGTGACACCACACCTGCTGGGTGATACAGAAACTCTTGCTTTCTAAAAACAGTATTTCCAAGGTGTTTTCACATGCCTTTGCTGTTGGTTAGAGGAGCAGAGCCTGGTGAAGTCGCAGGAAAACCAGCCTTGTTCCATTCACCTCATTCTGTCACTGTCTCCCATCCTAGAGCCCCTCTGGCTCTGGTCACTTATTTCCATCATCACCTGTCCCTGTTTTATCAAGTGTTTGTACTGATCTCCCCCAAATGGCCGAAAAACCACAGTTTGAACCTTTCAAAACAACCCAGGTCACTGTGTGGAAGCGCTGGGACCTCTCACTTAAATCTGCAAACCCAAGATTACCATTTGAATGCTAATCTGGATAAATGGCACATAGAATTGGTCTGGATTAATATACATATCAACATAAACAGAGGTATATGTGTTCATTGTGTGGGACCGTAACCTCTGTGTGAGGTGGTTTTTCATTTTCACTGCATTTTGCTGAGGAGTGTGTGAATGCAAACACTTCCTCGGCTCTCTGTGTGAGTGTATCCGTGTGAGCAGTTCCCCATACAGCGATGTATGTATGTGTAAATTGTGTGAATGTAAATATAGATAGGCCATATGTCCCAAAAGTCCCAAAAGAGCATCTCATGTTGATATGTAGACAGTGTGTTAAGGACCTTCCTAATTAATAACCCAGATTAAAAACCTCTTGGCAATCAGTTAAGATTAATGACAGAAGTCATTCTGTCTCCCCCTCCACCCGCGTCTCAGGCTGTGAAAACCCCGGGTCAGGAAACTTTAATCCTGTTATCTGTTGCCTTCTTCGTCTGCAAAGCCTGGAGATTAGCTCAGCAACCACTCCCGAATCCCGGCCAGCCGCTCGGACAGCTGCCCTGCCTTGGCAGTTCATGGGGAGGAATAATCTGGGTAGGGGCACAGGCCTGGTGTATCAGTCTCTCCTGCAGCCCACTCCACAAAAAGGGTGTTATGAGGAATTAAGACATAAAATGTTTGTTCCAAGTGAATCCTGCACAGGGAAACACACAGTGATTACCAGCCCCTGCACTGCCCGTGGAAAGGTTTCCTTTAGCTCAGCCTGGGGGGCTGCACTGCCCGTGCAGTGGCAGGAAGGTGTGTGAGAGCTGTGGCATGTCCATGCTCCAGCCAGCACTGATGTTCCTTTCTCCACAGGCACCACCCTATGCTGCCATGGCCTCAGAACTGACCAGCAGCTTTGTCTGTTCCTCCTCTCGCTCCCATCAGTGTTCACAGAGGGATGAGTCCCGAAGGCTCCTTTAAAGAGAGCAGCAGACTCAACTGCACCAAGAGAGGCAGTGCCGAGAGCAGCAGTGCCAAGAGCAGCTGCCTACATAGTTTGGAAAATATACCTGTTTCTCCTGACACCAGCACAACATCCTCTCTTCAGCAGGATGATCCCTCCCCCTTCCACTGACTGACAGCAAACTTCTCAACTTCTAAGAGAGCCACTCCTGCTGGGATGGGCACCTCTGGGGCCACCAGGCCGGACCCTCCCGAGGGCAGCCTCAGCCCAGGTCACAGGGTGAGGCCATGATTCCACTGACCAGGGGCATCTCTCCGGAGGAAGCACTGCTATCCACATAGCTCAGATGCAAGCTTCTTTTGGCCCTTCAGCACAAAAGAACTCCAGTAAGTTCATGATTGATAACTGTGTTAATCTCTTGCCTGTCACTCACTGTTTTAACTAAAGGGGCAGGTGTGTCTTCCCCAAAATAGGCCTTTTTCCCTTAAGGGAAGCCACAGGAGAAATATTTTCTGGAATTCAGTGCAGTGCTTCACTCAGCAGGATGCATCACTTTGTGCTGGGGACCAGTCCTGAACTCTGGCTGAACAGGGCCGACTGAAAGTAATACTCTTACAGGTACTTTCCTCTCTAACTGTGAACTGAAGAATTTTAACAGTAATACAGGTCATACTATTACACTGTTCTGGAAGTATAAGAGACATTTTTGTGCCGTTTTAGCTCTCCAGTCTATACAAACAAATTCCCACTTAACCAATGGCAGGGGCAATATTTTAGCAGGAAACATTTAAGGAAAAGTGGTGCTCCAGCTTCCTTCTCATACTTAGCTTTGCATCTCCTTGCAATTGCAGCAGTTCAGAAGATCCAATCGACTTGGCTAAGTGCTACTGAAGTTTCTTTTTTAAAACCCTCAGTTGACAATTTCTTGAGCATAATTTCCCCTTTTTGCTGAATACACAACACCAAACTACCACTGAACAAGAAGTGAACTGATTCTTCCACTGTAACATCAGTTACTGTTGGGGCACTTGGATTTTCAGTCTGGGAAGTGTACAATACCTGTTAGCAGCCACAGTTATCTTTCTCTGAGATTACCTGATATGAACATACTAAGTTCACTTGTTATTTCTCTGTGCATTTCACCATTTTGCAGTGATTAAAAAGGAAACCAGAGGAGGAAATGCAGAAGAACCACAAAGGGACCGATGACGTGGCCCCACCTCAGAGGACTTAGCACTGTCAATGCGTCTCACACTGTCTCACACTGCAGGTTGTGCTGCTGGCAGTTACCATGCAGAATATAATGCTTTGTGTAATGCATAGGTGCTCAAAAAGTAACAGTTTAAATAGACGTTTGTGTTAACTCTGTACCCATTAATAGCAAAGAACCTTTAAAGTATGTAAGTACTAATAGGCTTAAAACTAAAAACAAGTACAAGTGGTTTCCTTTTCAATAGGCTGTTTTGTACATGAAAGTACCAGCTGAAAGCATTCCACACTTCTACTCTATTCTGATTCTTTTAGAATGAGCTACAATCTTTTTACCAGTTGCACCTATTTGCACCCTGAAAGGGCAAAATCTTCACTACAACTGCCACGGGCTATTTGTGAACTTAAAAAGACATTCATGTGCATAAATGCACACAGGATCAGAGTCTCAGCCACCATCATATTGCAACAAGCTCGAAGAATACAAAAGCCTGATCATCTTTTGTGCTAAACTATCAGTTGGAAAATAAACACACGGACTTAGAGGAAAGACCAGAACCCTGGGGCTGATGCTGTGACTCCGTGCGAGGCTGTGTTCCCAGGCAGCCCTAGACTCCTGGGAAGAGGGGTTCAGTACAGACCCTTAGACACCGAACTGGTTTATGACAGTACCCCAGACTGCTGTGCTTAGTCTTCTTTGCCCCTTCAATAAAAAAAAGGAAGAAAGTCTACCTAGTAGCATGGACGCAGGGTAATGCATCATTTATAAATTACCTAGTTAGTGCAGAAAACAACACATGGCTCTGCAGCCGAAATCTCCTGCTGCGGACTCACTCCGTTTGATGGGAGCCCTTCAAAAGCATTGGTGGCTTAATGGAGGCGGTTTGAGGGGACCTCGCTCCTTACCTGCTGTCCCTGTGCTTCTCCGGGAGCTCGGCGGCAGCTGCCGCGGCGTGCAGCTGTCTCTGAAGTGGCTGTGTGTCCTCAGCCCCCAGCACAGGCAGCCTGCCTTGGATCTGTGTTTGTGCCTGAGGCGAGCTGGGGAGCGCAGCTGTGTCCACCCCGCGCTACCTTTGGTGTTGCGGCCCCTGGGCCCCACGCCGCCCCGACCTGCCCCACGCGCTCCTGCAGCTGCTGCTGCCCGCGCTCCAACGGCGCCGGGCCCGCCACAGCTGTGCCCACAGCCTGCCCGCTAACACCTGTGCCGTGCCTGCTTCAAACAGCCGTGGCTCGCAGGACTTCAGCCACCGTCAGAGCCTCCCAGAGCAGCCCGTGCTCTTGGCCACCCTCGGCACCGCCGGGCATGTGGCACCTATGGGACAGGACAGGGAGGCAGGAACAGCTTGCTCTGCTTTGATACTTCATGCCTAAATTTCAACTGCTTGATCAAGGATTCAAATTCAGCAGTGAATTCTTCTACAAATGGAATTACTGAGTTCTTAAACAGTAAAAGAAGGGACATTAAATTGAACAACTCCATAGCTGCTGTTTCCAAGGTAAGTGTTGCTTGTCTCACCGAGCACACGTGCACTGACACAAACCCAGGGGTGCACCATGGCATCCCTACCCAGCACCTTAGGAACAAGGAAAAATATGTCCTTTTTTCCCCCAAGATCCTAAACAAGAGAAATGACACTCTTGCAGTGCCACGGGTCACACCCAACCCACCATTTGGCTAGGTACAAATCCCACTCCCTTTTCCAAGAGCTATCTCTCTGTTTTCCACAAACCAAGGTGCTAGCTAGTGTTCCTCCTGTCAGGCCCAGAGAAGTCAGGTGTCTGACTGCACAGTGGCTCAGCAAAGCCTTCTCCAAAGGCAATCCTTACAGTCATTCCCTGTCTTTAGGGGCAGAAATCCCCAAAACAGGGCCTGACTGACACTGTTTTAGCCTTTTCAGGCACCACGTCTGCTATGTTCCTGTTTACCTTGAATTTACCTGTTAAACTGTATTGTGCCAGGTATTTGGTGTGTAGATTAGCTGCTGTTAATGCTGCTCCATGTCACATGCATCCTTCATGCAAACAGTACATAACTGGCCAAGGTAAGGATGCTAACACTTGGCCATTCTGCTGCTTTCACCACTTGTCTTAATTATTTCTCACCTTCTCTTCCTTTTCAACAGCACCAAACTTCATACCAGGAAAATAATCAAAATTCTCATTACCTCCCATTCTACCACAGGTAACTCCTCCCCCTTAATCCCTCATTCTTTTATGTCACCTTTATGTTGTATGTTGCATAAACAAGGTTCCTGCACACTTGTGCTCTGTGGTATGTGTGATTGTGATCTCTTGCCATCCCATTTAAAGGGAAGCATTTGGTCCTGTGGCTCTTCCCAGGTGCCACAACCAGGAATCTGAGTGATCCCAAGACATGTGAAATGCCTTGATGATCAATCAGTTCCCGAGATAACTGCTGACATTCGAAGTGATACTCTCCTAAGGACCAACCATCAGAAATACCCAATCTGGCCTCGCTATCAAAGGTGCAAATAGCAGCTCTGCATCCCCATCAGGGCAGCCTTTGGGGGAGGCCCCTTTTTCCAGGGTCGTGAGTGTTTCAGGAGCAGGGATGGTCTGAGAAACACATTTCCTCACCTTTTGTTCTGTGAAAGGTGCCTTTGGTATGGAAGTGCAAACCTCCAGGGAGCAACCTGCATGGGTGTTACAGGTGTCACATAAATTTGATCCAGTTTTAGCAAGCTGATAGGCAGCCTCTGCTCTTACAGCCAGCTGGTTCTGAGAGAGATTTGGGTGTCTGCACAGAGTTATTACCCTGCATGAGCTGTGGGCTGTGTTCCCGTTTTCCAGCTCCCACCACCCCTCCCTCTGCCTTCGGGAGACCTGCACTGGTGCCACGTCTCCAGGCCAGTGCGATGCACCTCTTGCTGCACTGATTGCCCAGAGTGTTACTTTCCTGCGGTACCACTCTTTTGTCTCTCTTTTGCAGTGCCCAGACCTGCCCAGCCCAGCTGTCCCTTGCCCCCCCCGGCGCCACACACCAACCTCATCTCCTTGCTGGGGTCGCATCAGCGAGACTCTGTCATACTGCCGCCGGAGCAGCGCCCACAGCGCGTCGAGCCGGCCCTGCGGAGACAGCACGGGCGTCTGTCAGCGGCGAGCACACCTCACCTGCACCAGGACCGTCCACAGGGATCCCAGGGACATCGACTGCCAGGACACAGCCGGATCAGCACACTGTAAGCCTGAGCTGTGTCACCCACAGCATGCTGCGGGGCTGCTCCTGCCCACCTGCAGTGCCAGGAAGGGCACTCGCCTAATGCACCTGCTCCCTGCTCGGAGCCATCCAGGACTTGTGCTTGGTCTGCCATGGCATGGGCTCGATTGCCACATGACCTTGTAGAGTTTATCCCACATGTGTGTGTTTGTTTTACAGCACATACTCGGGGACTGTTGTGCAGGACACACACACCAGCTCTGCTGCGGGTCAGGAACATCCTGTTCCACATGGATGGTTCCAGAGCTTGCCTGTGTGTCTGGACAACATGGCTTCAAGGCTTGTTGGGCGTCAGAAAGGACTGAAAGGGAGTTGGGAAGACAGACGTATCCCTGCTTCCAGCTACACCAGTGTGTTCTCTGCTCTTGCCTCTTAAAGCAAGGTATTTACAGACGCACCCTCCGTATGTCAGAAGCACTTGTGACGGGTTTGCAGGTGGCTCAGGGCACTGTTATTATGAGCCAGGAAAAACGATTCCCTTTCTGTCAGATTTCTTGCATTATATTGTTCTATGTAATTTTTTGCTTTCCTTGGTTTGTAATGAGTATGTGTGTTTAAAACTTTGTGTTAACAGCTATAAATTGTGTAGTTTTGGGCTTAATTAGCTCTACTTTGAGATAGACCAAATGCCAATGAAGCCCCCGTAGATTTTAATGCTCTCACTGTACAGTATGTCCCTTTCTGGGGGAAGGCAAACGGAATGTGGCAGTAATGATCAAGTACTGCATTTAGGGCTAAAAACTGCTCCTGCCATTCATGCTGAGTAGGTGTTCCCTTTGAGAATAGCACATCACACTTGAATGGGAACACTTGGAATATACTGTGCAGTTCAGCCTGCGTAAGGCAGGTAAAACAGACAGAATCCAGCCTTTATAATAAATCATACCAAGAACTGAAAAAATTACCTTGATTGGCGTGTACCACTTCTGCTGCATGGCTGGTGAGGTAGGCTTTGGTTTAGGTGGTTTAGGGTGAAAAGGTTCTTCTGGTTCTTCTGGGAGTTTCACCACAGCATTCTTTGCTTTTTCCAACCTGGCCCCTTCTTCCGTGGAGCCCTTGTCACCCCAGCGCACCTGAGGAAAGGCAGAGTTCAGGTGTGAGTGCACTGCATGCACAGGGCAGGGAAATGCTGCAAGTAACAGGGGGATAAATTTGGAAGAAGTTCTGGATAAACAGGAGGAGAGGTACTGAGGAAAACATTACCTCTTCATTATTCTTAGTTAAATGTATTTGTAAATGAGTCTCTCAGTGGTGAAAAGTCAAGAGAAATACCGAAAGAAAATTCCACCATGCCTCACTCCGGCTGTACAGGAGAAGGGGAATCTGGGAAGCCTTTTTAAGGTAAGGATGTAAAAATCTCATTTCTGGTTCTGATTTATCCTAAAATACCAGACCTGAATCTGGCACCAGTAAGAGCTGAGATTTCTGTCACCCAGGTTTCCTAATCCAGAGTGTTTGTTGAGAACCCCAGCATAGATCAAAGATGATGCTTGGGCACGTTTGAGTAGAAGCTGCTTGAACCCACTGAGATTTCCACGTTATTCTGCAGGAACACACATACTGGAGAAATGCAGGTGAGTAGTCTAACCTGCCAAAGTGCACATAGAACATGTAGCAATGTGTACTTTAATCACTGCTGCAAGTATATAAAATACACACAAAGAGTTCACAGAGAAGGAAACCTCTGTTATCATGGTTGGGCATACAAGCAGGTATTCCCACTTCCATAAAGGTTGTGCTCACTGCACTCCGCAGAGGAAATACAGGGAAAGACCTTCCCTCTATGAGATGATCTGTCTTGCTGAAGGAATCCTATTTCACCTTGTGACTTGAAGCACCATACAGCAATCTGAGCAGGTACGTTTGCTGTATGGCACAAAGAAACAAGTCTAGACAAGGCTGTTTAGGAACAGCTAAAAGCAATGGCAGGACTTTGAAAGTCCTTAGTGAAACTGACCTGGGGTATGTCAGCAAGACTTTCTATAATCATGCTATTTGCTATGATCTGGCCTGCAAGGAAAATCTCAAACACTTGTGTCTTTCACTGTGATCAATGGTGGTTGTTACATGGTTGTTAGAATGTATTTTAAACACCCTTAAAACCACTTAGAGATAGAAGGTGGATCCCTCACTGATAAAATTACCTTCTCGTTTCAGATTAAAGCCACTTCACTCAGAGGGGAAATCAGGACTGGTGAAGTCTGGCAATCCCATTTTGACATAAAAATGTATTGACTGGATTGGGTGGGGTCTGGCAATGCCATCACAAAACTTTAAAGCAATGCCAAAAGACAGAGCGGAAGAGCAAAGAGCACACTGCCTAAGCTGTGGGACTACCACCAAGGGGTGAAGCTAGTGGGGAAGGCTGGAGTGGATGGGTAACTGCCCCCAAAGGGAATACAGGAGCAGTAAGGAGAAGGGTGCTGGATCATTCGCTCCTTTTCTCCATGCAGGGAAGCTGCCAGAGCGATCAAGTTGCTGGAGGAACAGCAGAAGAACAGAGGACAGAGAAGCAGTGAAAACCAGTCAACTGTGTTGCCACACAGACTGCAAACAGGGAAGAGATGTCATGACTAGTGCAGCAATTTTGTCACTGGCCACAGCAAAGAAACCACCTCTAACTGCCAGGTGGGGAATGACCTCCCTTGGGCTGTGTTTGCTTTCTCTCTCTTCTCTGCCCTGACTCCCTGAAGAAGCAGCATGCTCTCCTGAGCCAGGGAGGGGTGTGAGGCCTGTCCCGCTCTCCCAGCAGCCTGAGCTGAGGCTGTTTCCCGAGCCCCTGTCACAGACACTGCAAGGCAGAGGTGAAGCTCCCCAGTCAAACCCTGAGTCACTGACCATGCGGTGCCCATCAAACCTATCAGTGCTCTGGGGTGCCAGAGAGGGACAGAGCCACAGCCCCACAGAAGGGGGGGGCCCTTGGAGGCCCCGTAACTGCACTGGCACCAGTTTCAGATGGTTCACATCTTTAGCCCTTAGTCCTGCACAAAATTCCTACCACAGATGAAAAGGTTTTCTAACCTAAGCATAATGTTCTGCTCTCTTTGTATTTTTGCTATGGGCTGAACATGCCCTTCTGTGTGGTTCTGATGCCACTTGTGTTGAGGTTTCTGTCAGGTTTCTGTTCCATTGTGCAAGATCCCATTTACAGACTGGAATGGCTTAAACCCTGGAACCCCTTCTGGAGCCTATCATGGCTCGCCTCAGAAATTCAGGCTTGTACTTTTTTGTGTTGGAAAGCATTTGCTAGTTTGCCTCTGAAAAACTGCACAAAATGGGTTTTTTGTGAAATCTGAAACTCTTCTAAACTAGCAATTCTGAACTGCTGAAGGAAATGTATATAAGCAACACAGCTTCAAACCTGCATGTTCTGCTGCTGCGTTTAAAAAGATCTAGACCAAAACTGATTCTCAGGCCAGCACCTTTAACGTTTCATCAAGACACCTCAGTATGGCCTAGGTGGGTGTTTCAGAGAGAGACAGCTTCCTGGATTGCAGTTAAAAACTGCTTTGCATATTCCATAGAGGCTGACTTGACTATAAAACCTGCCATAAGGATGTGCCCATAAGGATGCACATTCTTCATTCTGTTTTAATTAACATGATGCTATCATGTCTCTTCAAAGACAGGCACTGTTGTCGCTGCGAGTCCCTCTGGGATCAAGCTTCTCCTCAGCGTCACCATTGTCAGCGCATTTGGCTGGCCCACACTTGGGGGACTTATGTTTCACTGTAATTCCTTCCAAAACATGCAGAAAAGGCTCTCACTCTCTCTTTCTCATTAGCTTGATGGAAAGAGCATGTCTTGAGGCAGCTATTAAAAGTCCCAGTCAAATGGAACTACTGAAAGCTGTTCTCTCTGAGTCAAGGTCAAAATTGCTCGATATGGTAAAGAATTTTCCAAGGCTTATGCCAGTGGGAAGACAGGCACACATCATGGCCTTGTATTTTCAGTACACTTTCAGTCTTTGTTTCCACACTTGCAGCCTCAGAGAGCTCGGACTGAGGGTGATCACCAGATCATACCAACCTCCATCCTCTTAATTCCCCCAACTCCTCTTCCACCATAGTAGGAAGCATCCACCGTGGGCCACTTCTTGGTAGGCAAGGGCTCCTGTTCTTCTTCCTGTCAGTACATGCAGATGATATTTACTGTAAAAAGATACCTACACACACATACTAAATGTCTTTTCAGTATATTTACTGAAAATATAAGTTCACAGAAACTTAAGTTTGCCCCTGTTGGGTGTGAAAGGGGCATAAACACCAGCAGAGCCTCCAGTGCATTACTGATCCTGGGTGGGAGGTTCTTAGTGCCTGGAATGCCAAAGTGAGGGAAAATGCTGCTCAAGTCCCACATGAATCTTTAGATGTTGTACAAGGGTAATTCAGTCTTTCTGGTCTCACTGCAGAATGGGAAAAACAACATTCAACTATCTTGGGATAAAGGCCCCAAATGTGTCTGTCGCTGTGTGCTTAATTCAGGCCACACTGAGCTGAGACAGAGCAGAGACTTGGACTTTGGCCACCACGTTCTCAGCAGCACCCTGACAAGGGTGCTGGATGCGCACAGTGCAGGGACACACAGGAGGGGCTCTGTGTAAGCAGTGTGATGACATTAGCACCATCAGAACGTACCTCTTTTGGGGCTGGTGGAGGTGGTGGGGGATCCTTGATGACCTGAAAGAGCCAAACATAGAAAAGCATAAGGAGTTGCACTGGCAGCGGCCAAAAGGCAAGAGCACATGGTAAGAGTGAACTGTTTCCACCCATGCCCCCCATGTCTGCTGCCAGACTGGCAGCTGGCACTGCCTGGTCCCCAGGGCATTGACCACCAAGGCCTTCTGGAAATTAACACCATCTGATGGACCATGCCATCCCTGGCCTGCAGACACTCTGGGCAGACGTGTCTACCACTGCTCTTCCTGGCCGGATGAGCCTCAGCCGCTCTCAGTAACAGCCAGTGCTGAGACCCCCCAGAGTTCATTAGTGATCCCGGAGGAAGAGGGTCTGAGGCCTGTGTGAGGGCCTGTGCGGCCGTGGGCCAAGCTGCTGCTGCTGCTGCCACGCTGCTGGGTAGTCTCTGGCCAGTGACAAGTGTGAAATGCCTTCTGGCAGCTCAGGCTTCACCTCTGCATGTCCTGGACGCTTCTGCAGCTCTCACAACTGAGTCCTGCAGGCTCCTGACTGTGCAGGGCCTGCAATGGAGTCGTGCTCCCACACTTCTAACACTGCTCCCAGGAGCATCTCTTGCACCTCTATTTAAACCTCTCCCTACAGCCTCTTCCTGTTCCCTTTGTCACATCCACACTGTAAAGCTCAGGGAGTTCCCAGCACTGACAGTCCTGGTAGGGTAGAGGGAGGCAGGGACCTCCTTCAGTGATTCAGCTGAAAACTGAACTCACACCTCTGTTCCTCCACGAGAAAAGCAGGTGTCTAAGCTAAAAATAAGTACTTTGGTGACATCAAGTCATTTTTCTGGGCTTGAATATTACCTATAACTGACTGAAAACTACCCCATGAATATAAAGGAGCCTGTTTCTGCTATGCCTTTGTACGATACAAACACACCTAAAACTGTCCATGGTAACAAACACCTAAATCTCCTAATACAGACAGGATTAAGTACCTTAATTGAAATATGCCTTATTTTATCCACTCTGTGCTATTAATTGTAGTACTTTAATTTACCACTGCCTATAAATATCACTGCAGAGATGGCCAGCATAATACCTGAAAGGAACAAATTTTTCTTGACCAATAATCAAGAGTTTTCTGTCTTGATTGACATTTTAACTCACAGTGCCACCAAAACAGTTACTGGTTACTGCCTTAACAAGCTATGGACTTTTAGCACTACATGCAGGAATTCTGTCCAGTAGGAGAACTAAGTTACGGCACTCGTGGAACCAATTTCCCACAGCACTTCAGGTTTAAGATACGGAATTGTTCATAAGGCAGGCTCAGAGTGCTTTGGGCAGCTTGGAAAGTCAGCTATGGATTATAACCACACTTCTGTTCGCTGCTATGATGTTGCAAAAACGTGCCGGAAATTATTTTTCTTTAAATAGTTCTCAATAGTTTTCTTCCCACCCATTAGGAGTTTCCAGATTACTTAGCAGAAATCAATTATTTAATTAGTGAAACATTCCTGAGAGCCAGACTGGAATTACTACCCTAACTTTACGTGAAATGGCAACACAGAGGAATCGTGGCAGAGATCCTGAGAGATACCTGGGTGCTGAGCAGGATTTTCCAAGTCAGTTAAGAGACTGCAAAAGGTAAACTAGCACTTTTGCTCACCTTCTCTCACTTAATTCCTGTCCTTATTTCCCTTTTGACTGTCTCTAACCATTATCTCCAGATAATTTATTTCTGCGCCAAGCCTGCAAACTGCACAGAGGAAAGGCCTCCTAGGCAGCAGTTTTATATAAATCCACATGAAATGGCATTGTCACTCTGCTTTCTACAGTTGTGTTATTCTGAAACCTTGCAGTCTGAGCATGGGTGGCTTTGCCCAGCAAACCTCTTAATGGTGTGGGATGGAGTTCCCGTGGGCCCTGTGCCCACTGGGATGTAGGAATCACAATTTCTGGCCCAGAGAATCAAGGGAAACCTGACTTGTTGACCTCTCTGTGGCTTCCAAAGGCAACAGTCAGTGGCAGCTTTTGCTTGACTCCCTGAGCAGAGGACCCTAAACCTGTGCCAGCTCCTGAGCTCCCTGAAGTTTGAGCAGAAACCTGATTTGAAGCCAACCAATCCATTAATTAGATGTTATTTCTAATGGCTTCAGAAAATGAAAATTGTTTTAAAATTGACAGTGGTGTGAGAAAATAATCTGCCTTGAATAGCAGCTCCTCACCCTGGTGACAGCACTGGAATGTCAGTGCCTGCATCCTTATGCTTCCACAGGCTCACACACTTAAATCACATGTGCACACACAAAGATTATTGTCAGCAGCATGATATTCCAAGTGAGATCAGTAGAAAGCTGTTTATAAAGAATAGAAGTCTGAGGCACTTGTGCAGCTCTGCACGGAGCTGCACGCAGAAGCGCACATAGGAAGATCGCAGTATTGTAAATTGACTTTTTCTGAGCTGGATTCAGATTGTTTAAACGCAGAAGCCTCTGAGAACAGTGCTGTTTTATCATCCCCATGGAGAGATGGGCTGCTTCCTCGCTTTGTTTTATCACCAGCCCCTCCAGGCAACGCTCCATCTCATTTAGTGAGTTGCAAAGAATGAAGGTTTGAGTTTGGAGAAGAGCCGATTTCTTTAAAAAAAAGGAGAAGTTGGTGCTTGAGGCAGCAGTGCCTCTGATCCACTCATTAACACCTCCCCGCCGCTCTGTGATGTGGGCATTAGGATATGTCAGCACGGAGCCTGCAGCCAGCTTGCTGCGATCATATGTTCCATAGCGAGGGACAAGTGACAGAACTGTCACACTGAAATCCTGAAAGGGCGGGAGGAATAAGGAAAAGGAAGAGGAGTCCCCGTGCCCCACCCTGGGAGCGTCCATGGGCCTCACAGCACAGAATGCTGCCGAGACCGAGTCCTGGCCAGGATGGAGCATGGCCCGGGGGCAGGGGCAGCGCACCCACCTGCCTACGGACTCTTGTTCTGCTCACAGACAACCCTGTACCTCTCTCTTCTGTCAGATTCTGACTCCCGTGCTCCTTTGTTCCAGGAAACCAGGCACTGCCAGGGAAGCAGACCCAGATCAAGGGAAGAAGAGGTCCTGCCTGGCCCTAATGCTGCACGTCTCCTTGAGGACACTTCCCTGAAGCCCAGGACTACAGAGCCAAAAGGGGCCCTTCCAGCTGATGTCCGAGCCTCAGGGGCAGAAGGGAGGGGCAAGAACAGAGGCGCACAGCACAAGAACCCAAGGAACAGCCAGCAAAACCAAAGAAAGGGTCAGTATTTGGCAGCAGGTTCAGTGCAATAGCAGGTGGGTTTGGAATTTAGTATCGTAGCAGAGGCCTAAAATTGCCTTTTTAAGAAACTAATAGTATCCATGAGAGGTGAGAGGAAGCCCCAGGGGACATGGACATTTGAAGTGCTGTGGTTTTGTATGGCTGGAAAGTTGTACTATAGAACTATGCATTGAACTTGTCTTTTATTGTAAGATTTGGGCTTTTGAAACCAGTAAATGCGAAGCTGGTTTATGAATTGAGATTAGGCAGTTATTTTAAAATATGAAAACAGGAAACTTTCTTCTTACTGATTTCCAATGTTCCTTTTCCACAGCAAGGCTCATGATCTAAAGTGAGAGCAAAGTGACTGACAGAACCCTCCCTATATTTCTGATGTTGGGCCTGTGCCGGGGAGAAGAAGACATAAGAGAGGCTTTTTATTACAGAAGAGGTCATTGTTCTTGCCTCAGGAACCCCAGACTGTGAGGGTACAGATGGAGGCTGAGGACTTCCTGCCCTCAGACAGCCTGGGGCCCCACAGATCCGCTGGATTATGGGACCTGCACACGGTCAGGTGAGAAGGCCAGTCAGTTCCTCTCTGCCTCACATTCCACAAGCCTCAGACAAGACCAGGAATACAGACCAGCCCAGAAGCAGTCTCCACTTCCCAACTCCTCTGTGCTGTCGTTGAGCTGGATAAATGGTAAACTTTCCCCGGTTAAGCCCCGCGCCAAGGAATGGCAGGAGTCAGTGCTGAGCACTACTGCTGCTGGGGTGAAGATAGAGAGTGCACTCGGATAAAGAGATGGATGTGTGCAGGGATTATGAAGATGGTAAGGGATTTCCAACTTGAGAGCCCGTAATGGACTACAAATACCAGTTTAAGTGACAGCACTTTTCAATTGGTCCTTGATTTCAGGGTAACATCTGCACACCATTATGGCCACCCCATCTCCAGTAACAGCACCATGCTGGTGCTGGTTCCCACATGTGCAGCTCACAGGCAGGCAGGGGCTCTGTCCAAAGTGCAACCCTGGTGCTGGGGCTAGTCCCCCCATCCCCTTCCTGCCTGTCACGAGCCCCTCGCCCCAGCTGGCTCAGGTCCTGTGTTGCTCCTCTGTTTCCTGCAGGATCTGTGTTTCCCACCCCGGACTCCCAGTGCAGTGGCTGTTCCCCACAATCTGTACTTACCACTTTGCAGCACAGGGGCCAGAACCACCAGAGCAGGCCAAGTGCCACCAGCAGCAGCAGCACGAGGACGGCAATGAGCGCTGCCACACCACTGGACTGCAGAGAGAGCAGGGACAGCGTCAGCGTGCGCTGCACAACTGCTGCCCGGCTCACCCACCTACCCCAAAGCCCAGGATTAGTTCTGCTCAAGTCAGGGGTGCATTCTACTGTGAAACTGATATAAAAGTGATACTCCTGAGATCAGAATCAGGCCAAGCTAGAGGAAAAGGTAGAGTGCAGTGACTGCTAAGGAATGAGCCATTAGATACAAGCAGGGGAAGTCTCCTAAACCTGTGGATGAGAGGTGCCTTTTTCTCCTCCATAAGGACACATCTGTATGGACTGGGGGTGGCAGAGGAGGGGGGATTTTAAGGCATCTCCGCTAACAGTACACATCCAAGGCTTTTATGCTGATCGCCCACACACCTGTATAGACTGTGGCACACTAACTCCCTGCAGCAGTGCTGTTTGAACCTGGAACTCTGCAGAAGTGCTCCTGCTTCCAGCAACACTTGTAATGGAGAACTGAGCAGCCCAACTCCCACACACCCCACACCTCCAACCCACTTCCTCTGGCACTTTTAGTCCTATCTTTGGGGTTTTAGAAAATCACTGACAGAAACGCAACAGTGACCTTAGGAAAACAAGTTATTCAGACTTCAGTTGGCAAAAAAAGGAAAGGAGGAACCCAGGGAAATGCTGAGGCTGGAGTACAGCGTGAGTAGTTCTGTCCCGGTGAGAAGGATTGTACTGGAGGTGGAACAGAGCCATATCCCAGGACCAGGTCAGTGCAGTGAGGCACGCAGGTATGATGGGTGCCTCAGTGCCTAATGCTGTGTAGTTTTGTTTGTTTTCATCGCAGCAATGTGTGTTTGCTGGGAGGCTGCAACTTGTAACTCATCTCTCAGCCAGTCATCAGCTGCTCAGCTCCCAGAATTAGTGAGCATTTCTAGCAGTGACCCATTTCTGGAGCTGCCCATCTGCTACTATGGAAACAGCAGCTCCTGTGTGGAGCTGCCTTTGCTGCAGCACAGGCCAAGAGCAGAAACCAAAAGGAGACAAATAGGGCTGATGAGAAGCACAGCAGTTCTTCCTGCCCATGCACATCTGTACCTCTCTGCTTCCTGCCAGTGCAGGCTGTGACCACAGAGCAGCACAGTGGGAAGCCTGTGCCCAGCACTTCACTCTGATCTGCTCTGCATCAGGGCTTTGCTGATTACCTCTCCATGCACTCCTGGCAGCTCTTACAGGGGCACAGGCACAGACTCACCATGTGCTGCCTTCTCTGGAAGGGCTGAGGTAAAGGCAGTCTGCAGCTGGGCTGCAACAGGCTCCTGGGTGACTGCCCTCAGTCACCATGCTTGGGTGTAAGGCTGGGATGTTGCCCAGTAAACAGTGAATTGGGGAGCGTGTGTTCCTTCACCTCCCAGCTCAGTCTGGCTTTACTTCCTCAAACCATAGGGCTGCACTGAGGCTCTGATTTCTACTGCACCAGTATTGGGGTTTCAAATGAATGGAAGAAAAATGCCATTTTTTCTCTTTTAGGTTTCTGATCTGCAAGCAGTAGCAATCCTGTTGAAGAACTGCAGGCTGACGAGCAGAAGGGACTGTTCGCCATGCTCCACGCCTGATGGGAAAGCTGCTCCCAAGTCACACTTCAGATGAGACACATTTAAAGGCACACAGTGCCCGTGCACAGCACGTGTTAAACACTGGGGGCTTGTGTCTCCCTGCACAAATCCCAACTGTCCTACCCACGTAATGGAGAGCAGAAATGTGACACTAGAAAATTGTATTAAATAAGGCATAAAGGTACGAAGTTCAAACAGTCACTCTCTGCACAAGTATGTGATTTCTTCCAGAAGCAGTTTTAACTCTTTTCTATAACCTGTGATCAGATTCAGCAGGATGTTCACCCTGCCTTACCCTCAGGTGTAACTGGGGTACTCTGGTCTGTGCTTGGACTGGCTGTCTCCCCAGATTAACGGAGTTAAGAGCCTACACTCGTTACTCAGGCTCCAGAGTTACGGAGCATCAGTACCCTCCTGTAGGATTGTAACCCTCCCTCCACGCCCAGGCTGAAGTCCCACGGTTCTGCCTACTCTGCTCCCCCCCATCCTACTCAGGGAAGCCATCCTGGAATGGGACTCCAGGTGGCTGTGTCACACCTGCCCCTTGGGACATGGTTATATTTACAGTGAGCGTGTCTCCAAGGGCAGGGAAGCCTCCCAGTATTTTGAAGGCCACAGCTTTCCACAGGGAAGTGCAATCAGAGATTCCCCGCAGTGAGAGGTCCTGCAATGGCAAAGCCCAAAGGGAAATGAGATTTGGGAATTTTACACAGGATTGTGGTCGTCTTTTACTTACACACTCCGAAGCGGTGATGGTTAACGAGCTGGACATGAAAGACTGGCCTTCCTTCAAACTCACCAAAACCTCCAGGGTTCTGCAAAGAGAGAGAGAAAAAACATGAGCAACCATGTAACAGTCAGGAAAGGCTCACACCTGCTCCAGAGGCTCCTGTATCTACAGCCTCTGCTCCACAGAGAGTGTCCCCAGATGGGAAATGGAGGCCTGTGCTCACTCTTGTTTGGGAGTAAGTTTGGTCACCTTGACGGAGCTACCTGAGTAGAGATTACCCATTCTCTTTTCCATGCAGCATAAAAGACTGGCAAAAGTTTTACATAAAATAAATTGAAGTTCAGCTGTAAAATTAACATTGTTTTCTCTGTTCCATAACCATCTTTTTAGTCACATGCAGACATTATGGATAAAAATGTCGGATAATTATAAATGGTCAGGACTTGCTATAAATAGCCCCAAACACTGCATACAAATGGTACGTGGTTTACATTTTACAAATTAACCCTACAAGAAAACAACACATGGTGGATGTTAAACAGAAGAAGACTCTTCTCTGGCTTGGATTCCCAGGATTCAGACAGTTTATATTATGCATAGATGTAATTAAATAAAAATATAGATATCCATGAACTAAAATGATTAATCATTTATACCATTCTTACATGTCATGAGTTTTTATTCTGGCACAAACACTTTAGTCAATATGGAGTTCAAAGCCATTTTAACTAATTTGGCTAATTTCTTCTTCATTGGTAGCAAAAATGAAGTGAGTTGCTTCGACTAAACTAATTCTTAAATTATCTGTGCCATAAATAATTGATCCAACAGAAAGAATAACTCTAATTTCTTTCTAATTATTACTGGAATAAGTGAATCAGAACAGATAAAAATAAAAAAAAAATAAAATTTCTTGCAGCATATTAAATAAAACCTGACCAGAACTTCTGTCAGACATGAATTTGTTTCAGTGTGGTGCTTTTTATTATTTTTAATTCTGGTGTTTTGTTTTGGCACTGTAATGAGGAATGCTGAGGGAAATTCCAGCATGAGAATTCTGCTCGAGTTTGGCCAAACACTCCCCCGACTGCAGGGCAAGAGGGTTTCCTGCCTTCCCTGGGGGAGAGCAGGATTCCCCTGCCAAATTGCTCACACAATCCTGCAGCCTCCCCACCAGCCCTGTGTGCCCTGGCAGCCTCCTGGGTCCTGCCTGGAATGTCACTAGTGAGGAATGAGGCTGTCTTTGCTACGAAATGGAGCAAAACAAAAACCTGCAACGCATCTGGATAAAACACGTAACCCACACTAAAGAAAAGGATCATTCTCGGGTAACTTGGGGATCTTGACAAGTCCTTGAGCTCGCTGGGATGTATGAAAAATTGGGTATAATAACAAAGATTTCCAAGTGGACTAGAGTCCATGGTTGCACCTTACTGTTTGGAACACAGAACTGGGATACATAATTGCTAATATTTATAAGACGTCATAGCTGGGATTGCATTTCCCAGCTCTAGTGCCATGTGCCACCCTGTGCCTGCAGCTGTGTGTGCCCCAGCTCCCGCTGTCAGTGCGCTGACAGATCCCAGGGAGCAGGCTCACTGAGCAATGAGCTCCAGCACAGGCACACTGCGGGAGAACAGCCCGCTGCCCGACCCACTCCCATCCTGATACACCGCTGCAGGGATGTGCCACTGGAGATGTCACTGGAGCTGATCATACCGCTCAGGTTCTGGAAGCCACAGAGTGAACTCACACAGATAATTACCTCATCTTCAAAAGGATGAGCCTGTCAACACACAAAAGCACTCCTTCCCTGAGACTGTCATGGCTGTAGGGAATACCGAACGTGTTCTTTCATTTCTTCAGCAGCCACCTGTTTGCTGGGCTGTGTGTACTTGCCATTCATACAAACACTGCCCTTTAAACCTGAGTCCCAGAACGAAGTGTCCTGTTTCTGCTGCTCATTCACACACAGCCCAGAGACAGACGCAGACAGAAACTCGTCTGGTGTTTACCAGCAAGCGTCCACATGTGTGAGGCTTTTAGCTCAGCACTCTGCAGAAACTGCGGATATTTTGAGAAGAAAATGACATGCGGCAGCCATGCCATTTCCTGGGCCCTTCCGTTCCACTGGTGACTGTCAGTGTTGGGTGAGGGCTGCATCCCTTTATCAGAGCTCAGAGCAGCCAGGTCACCAGGGAACATTCTTGTCCCTGCAACCAGGCAGCCCTTGGGCACAGCCCTGGTTCTCCAAGGAAGGGTTAGGCTATACTAGTTTTGTGCCAGCACAGAACCCAGCTGAGGGCTGAGCTCTGGAAAGCCCTGGAAAGTTCTGGAAAGCTGCCACAGCTTCCCTCAGGGCCCCCCAGATAAAGCCTCAAGAATCGGGCAGTGTTCTGTGGCACCCATGGAGCCCTCCCATAGCACCAGCTCTGCTGCCTGGCACCAAGGACACGTGGAGTTGAGCAGCTCCCCTCCGTGTATCCATCCAGACAAACAGGGCTGCAGGAGCCAGGCTCCAGGGAAAGGCAGCACAGCCCTTCTCACACCTCCTCGAAACCCCAACAGTGCCCAAAGCCAGCGGCTATTCAGGGCTTGGAGTCAGGATGCTCCTTTCCCATCTTCTGCTCTCTTCAGACACAGCACTTGAGTGAAGCGGATTCAAAGAGCTGGCAAATGAGCACGAGTAATTACCATGCTGTGCAGCACAAGCCCTATTTCTCTGCCTCTACCTCAGCCCTAGTGTGCACTTTTCCAATGGTCTATGCTTCAAACCCATTTCACTGTACTAGGAAAAACTGGCTTTCATTTACAGTTCACAGCCCTTGCTCCATGTGGAAGGGATTTTCCTATCCTTTGTCTGTGCAGTGTTACTTCTGGGATAGGAATCAATCCTGGAAAACATAGTCTGAAAAGCACTTTTTAAAAATGTTCTGACTTCTGACCAAAGGTAATCACAAGACTCTTGCAACTTTAAGCTGCATCAGTCCTGGCCCATCGCCCGTCCTAATACACAGTTTACCCAAAAATGTAACTTGAGGCGAACCAACAGTTGCAGTTCTTTCCTTCATCCCCCACTGCTGGTTTATTGTGACAGCAGAGGGATGTGGCCCACTGCCATATGTCCCTGCAGCTCTGGGCTAAAGCCTCCCATTCCCTGTGAAATACAGCTGACACTTTCATCCACGGTAACCTATTTGCAAAGTATTCATTTGCTCCTTACTTTCTGGGGAGCCACTAAAAGACTGCCATTTTATGACCCATTAAAAAATGAAAAAATTAAATACAATTGTGAAAGACATTTGCTGGAAGTAATAAATAATTTACCTCCAATTTTCATGCACTGAAAATTAAACTGGCAACTGCTCAAAAAGTCCCTAAAATTATGGTGACAAAGGTATTTCAGAATCAAGTACCTGCATTAAAATAGCAAAAATGCTGTACATAATAGGAAGGAAAAAAGAGGTCTATGTATTTAATGGATGCTCTCCCTTCCAAGCCCTGCCTCCATGGATTACTGGATAGCTTAACTGCATGGCCTCCATTTGACCAACATCACTTTGAAACCCTTGGCACTGCTTGCTGGGGTATAACTAATATTCACCCCTCCCTTCTCTCCAGCCCAAGCAGAGAGCCTAAGGCCAGCTGCACAAGGCAGGGAAAGTTCCCCTGGAGCAGGGCTGCAGCCCTGCCTACCACGTTCAGTGCAGTCCCACTGTGCCAAGGGCCAGCTGTGCCTCGGGAGCACTGGGACCAGTTTGCTCCAGTCATTGGGAACAGTGCTGGAGACAGGACATGACCTGCAGTTACGCTAAATGGTCAGACACGTTTTGCTCCCACCAGCCACACAGGCATAAGAAGGAGAACTGAGTATTCCCTGAGGACAGTAAAACCTGCTCATCATAGAAATCATTATGGCGCTTGGGGATTCTCGTAAAGAATTAGTATAAACTCTTTCCCCGGCCCTTCTTGGTGTAACTTAGCACTTATACAAATTCAGATTATGGTTCTTTAGGATGTTGTCCTATTACCCGAGAATGCTTTATCTTTCCCAGCCACATGTGCCATATACTGGCCATCTGGGCTTGGCTTTCCATGGGAATAGACACAAGTGCAGAGAGAGCCAAAATGCCGTGGCTGGGAAGTGCTAGGGAATGTGAGAGAACTGGAAGCCAGTGAGGCATTAGCTCTGGTCTCATGGAATCACGAGAACCTGCAGTACAAGGGTACGACACGTCATTATTATGTTAAATTAGACTATTAATTCAGCTGGGGATCCTATGGCCACTGCATAATGTGCAGCACTTAGTTCTGCTCACGCGCTCTTCGCTAGCGCTCTGGGAACACTGTGTGCCCTAGGAGGGACGTGAAGGACTGCGCCAGAAATTACTACTGATCTTAACACCACAGCCATATGGCTGAGGGGCCAGTTAGCCTATACAAATCATTGAGGATGTTTCCATCTGTGAATAGTCCCCATTACAATCTAATTGTGTCAAACTAAATGTATTTCTAAAACATTTTCAGAAGTTAATAACAGATATTAAGCCTAAACCAGCCGTACTTTTGATTTCCCCCCACCTGAGTTTATTTTGGAGGGGAGATGTTGTCCCATGTAAGTACCAGGGATTGGGAACCATACTGGGTTTTATTTTTGTCAGAACAAAATGCTTATGTAGGGATAAAAAAGACAGTGCTGAAATGCCTAATCTCGGTGAGTTTGCAGAGGAAGGAATTAGTGCAGGCGGAAGCAGCTGCGATCCACGTCAGCTCCCTGCCCAGTGCTGCAGGGGAAGCACAGCTGTTTGCAATGAAGGATAATGCCAATATCCCATCAATGGGTGGATTAGTCCTGGACAGTTCTGAGCTGGGGAGGTATCGCATTCACCTGAGCACAGAGGCTCTGCACTGGTGAAAACAATAGGTGAACAGATGAAAACAATCTGGCCTGGATCTGGCATCCTACCGATTGGTGAACAGCAGGAAGTCAAAAGGAGGGAGCACAGCTCTTTGTCCCTTTTTGCTGGTGCTGGGAATGGCTGCAGTTCATGTCAGAGAGCTGCCTGGCTGCTGGGTGACAGTGAAGCTGCAAGAGGGCTGAGGAAGCCTCATCCTGGGAACTGGGACCTCCTCCTGCAGCACCAGGAGCCTGCCTGCTCTCCTTCCCGAGGCGCTTCCCAAGGTACAGCTGGGTTCTGAGAGGTGAGGGGATTGTTGTGGTTTTGCTTTTTCATAGTAGTAGTGACCCGTGCTACATGGAGTGGGAAGTACCTTAGTCAACCTGCTGCCTTTTAGGGAAATCCAATCAAGTCCTCATTTTAATTGCTCCCCTTGTCTCTCTACAAGGATTTTTCCAAGTCATACGTAGTCACCATATAGGCTTTAGACTAAGGAGGACACATAGAAAATTAAAAATCAGTCCTTAGACCCACCCTTGAGTAGTGACACCAGCTGCTGAGCTCTTGAGTGGCTCAGCGTGGCTCAGTACTTGGCATAAGCAATGCTCCTTACGTTAATGAGTAATTCAGCTCTGTGGCCAAATGACACTCCTGCTTTCGTAGCTACGAAGGGCATGCTAAGGCTAGTTAGTGAACAGCACCACAGAAAGAACTTGGTGTCACTTAGTTGGAAAGAGGACAGAAATGCTCAATATACCCACAAAATATGAATCTGTTCCTGAGTGACCCTGAAAGCTAACAGGAGAGCGAGCTGCACCTTGCAAACACTCTTTCACTGGCATTGCTTGGCTCTTGCAACGGGTTTCCTAAAATGTTACCTTTCTAGAAGGAAGGAAGTGACAAAACAAAAATAGTAGTAAGGCTAGCCATAGCAAACAATAGTAAATATATCCTCCTCTGGTTTTCAACTACTCATTTCTGTGTTACCAGGGAACTCAACTAAGCTCCATACAACCT